GCTGCTGCAAGTATCCGGGGGGCAGCGGCTGAGGAGTAAGGACCCAGCCCAGCAAACAGCCTGGAGATGCAGAGGATGCAGCTTCTCCCCAGTCCCAAGGAGAGGAGCGAGCAGGTGTCTCTCTGCTCCTGGCCCCAGCCAGGTTCCTGCGCCAGTGAAGCAGGGTCCCAGGATGCTGGTAAATGGGGGCGTGCTGGCCCTGGTCGCTCCTGAGGCTGGGGGGTTTTACACGCTCAGCGGAGCTGAGTAGGCAGGGAAGATGTGGTTGCTCTGTTTACCCGCAAACCGCTCCCACATGTTCAGTACTTGGGATCTGAGCTCCTGCTTGCCCCTAGCCTCTCAAGCTGCCGGTGGGTCCCCCAACAACCCCCCTCCAGTCCGAGCCGCTTGTGTTCTGAGGGTGCATTGCACACCCTGCCCCAAATCCCTCCCACGTGCGTAGTGTGCTTGCACTGAATGCAGTGGGGGCAGGCAGCTGTGCGCAGCGGCATCGTGCACAACGAGGAAAGCTGTGTGTAAAAAGTCCCTCTTTCCCTCTAATGTGTCCCCTCTATTATCCCCACCTGCGAGCTGGGGGAGGGAGAGGAATTTCCTCCCTTCTGATATTATTCCAGAAAGTTTGCAATGTGGTTATGAGATCAATCAATTAGGATGATCGGAAGATACTCCCCTCTCCAACTGTTGGGAGTGACTTTTACTCTTGGGGGAGGAAGGACATTCTTTTTGTGGTTGGATTGCTCCTGGTTGCACCAAGTGACATTTATTGTCAGGATAGCTCCTGGACCTTCCTGCCTGGGCTCTGTTTCCCACCACTGATCCCCATCCAGTGCCAGAGAGGTGGAGCCAGGTTGAATGCTTCCTATACTCATTCCTTAATATACAGGTGGACCTAATTAATGTTTAAGTGATCAGAGTGTGGGGTCAGGTATCAGCTCTCAGTTAGGGCAGCTTCTGTTGCCCTGCTTCTCCCCTGGTCAGATCCCTCCTGTTGTCTCCCTGGCTGTTGTTTGCAGGGCCCTGGTGGCCTGCTCTCCAGAGAGGAGTGACCCACCCCACCATTGCTACCATCCTTGGGTCTCCTGGCTAGTTGGTTGGCTGGCTGCAGCTGCTTCTGAGGCTGCTGCTGGTGTCCTGGAAGAAGAAGGGGAGCTGTGTGTGGAGCTGCTGCAGGACATTGTGGAGGGGGGTACTATTACTGGACTGAGTGATTGTATCTTCTCTGCTCCTGTGGTGGTGACTGCTGTTTTGTTGTGGAGAGTGGGGGGAGAGACTGAGGGTGCCAAGTCTACCCTGGCACCCCGGCCTGACTTCATAGAGGACCCCTTTCCTATACCCATCCCTTGATCCCCATGCCTGATCAAGAGGTGCAGCATTGTGGTGGCTTAGCTGCTGGGGCCCTGATCTCTTCTGGTTCCTGCCCTTGGTCCTGATCCTGTTCCTGTTGTAGTTCCCATCCCTTCCTCTTCCCATGTCACTGCCGGCCCTGGGGTTGTCTTGTTTCCTTCTCCATTGACCGCCCCCAAGAGGTGGTTTTTGTTTTCCCTTCTCCCTCTCTGTCAGGGACTGCCTTTCTCCCTCTGCTGCTGCCCCTTGTGCCAGGGATCAAGAAAGGGTCTGCCCCGTTTGCCCATCTCTGTAGGCTAATTAAGTCTTCAATGAGCTCCATGTTGGCATGAGGTTCTGTCCACATGGAAGTGAAGTCTACATTTCCCTGCACAAACCCCTGAAAGATGTAGAAAAACAAAACTAACACACAGAAATGCACCCTGAGAAATTTCAACATTGCCTATTATGATTAAATTATTGTATACAAAATTCAAATCCATCTTTCCTCTGTTTCCTTTCTTGAAGTGCAACATCTATGAACTTATCTATACAGTTTAAGTAGAATGGGTATAATGAACAAACCATTTTCTTTTTACTGATAAAGTAACCTGTAAAATACAGTATTGCATGTTAGAAAATTTCAAAATATTTTCCAGATCCTGTGAAACTTATTTCAATAAATGCTTTAATGGACAAGCTGCATCTAAAATATGCACAAAAACCATGGATTGAAACTCTGAAACTTGTACGTCTTTGCATGGTAAGAAATATCAGCAAGTTTGTTGGCAGCTGGATAAGATGAGGGTGTTTGACCAAAGGGCAAACAACAGAAATGTTTCTAACTAATCTGAAATTTTTCTGGGACTTTTTTTTTTCTTTCAAGGTGAAGCTTTTTCATGGAGCTTTCTTACACCTACGAAAGCCTGACTTCTGTTTATCTTACAATTGACATGGATACTTTAAAACAGTGCAGGGAGTTGCTTTCCATTAACTCTTTTGGGCCAAATGCAGGCCTTGTTTGATAATCTTAGCAACTTTCATAATACTTCTTAGTGGCTTGAGGTCTTCACTCAGTTTTTGACTTCAGTGGGAGTTGACCTCAGTAAAGAATGAGCGAGCCCTAAGGTTGTGACCCCACAGAGACTTAGACACATCCTTAACTCTACGCAATGTGAATAGTTCCAGTTAAGCATGTGCATAAATCATTGCTGGCTTAGGACCTACATAAGGAGCTCAGAATTGGCCATTCGTGGGGGACTGCGGGTCAGTTGGGAGGCTCCTACATAGATTATCTTTTATAATTTTAACTTTTAAGGTACTAGTTGTTTTGGTTCTCCATGTTGGTTACTGTATTTAAGTGTCTCCTTGTATAAACAATGGTGGCTCCAGCACAGTCATGAATGCTGCCTAGAAAGAGCAAATCACATTTGTGTCCATGTCCTCCTTCGATGCTCTTTATTATTTAACTAAAATATCCACTTAACAAAAATGAGAACATAATTTTGCTGATTGATTTTGGAGGTCTTTAGGCAGTGCCTGCCAGCAAGGAGGCTTGGAGATCCTAATTTCTAATTAACGTCACATTTTCAAATAGAACTTGGCCCCTGATCCTGTAAATGCTTACACAAATGAGTCCTTATTTAGTGCTCATTCATTTTTTACTCAGACACACTCTTGCTGATGCCAAGAACTCAATAAAGACTTCTGGATTGGCTCCTAGGAAGCCTGGTGAAAGTAGTTCAGATTATCAAACAAGGCCTGCATTTGGCCTAACGAGTTTATGGATAGCAGTCCCTGTGCTATTTTAAGTACTTGGACTATAAGCTCTTTGTTCTCTGTACAGCACCTAGTACAGTAGGGTCCTGCTCCACAACTTGGGCTCGTAGGTGCTATGGTAAAACAAATAATTAAAAAAGGCTTTATGTCAATTGCTACAGTGTGAGAGTGTCAGTCCATTTAGTTCAATGGGATTACTCTAGAGCTGGGTATTATTATTACTTCTATGCATAAAGTTACTCGTGTGTAAGAGTTTGCAGAATCAGAGCTGTGGTGGACTGCTTTCACCTCCATGTGAAATTACAGAATTCTTTTTGGAGTGAAATAGCTGCTGCTTTTATTTTGGATTGGGTTTGAATCTTTCTAATTCATACACAGAATCCAGTTTCTTTTTGACTGGTGATGTTTGAAATTATCTTTTTTTCCTCCCCTATTGTGCTAGGATAAACCACCTCGAGGTTCCATTAGTGTTACCCCACATCATCCTTTACTCTCTTGCTTGGAGAAGATACAGAGGACTTTAAATGGTAACAAGATGCAAGAAAATTCATAATCCATTGTTGAACATTCCATGAAATAGCTGTATCAGGGTGGAGGGAAGGTAGGAGGAGAGAGGAGTAGTGGTTGATTAGGCATGACCTCGATATGAATAGATGCTTCCAATCAGGATTACGATTCTATTGTGCTAAGAACTGTATAAACACAGAGGGTAGACATTCTCTCTTGTATTATCTATACTAGTTAAATCATACTTTCTGAAACGAAATAATTGCCATTTTTTTTCTAGTACATTGAAATCTGATTAAATAATTTCCCCTTTTCAGCTAAATCTCTGTCTACTGTGATGAGCAGATTGGAATTTTTATCCAAACAAAGGGGGTAAGTTTGTTTATGCGTTAAATGTAAATGAAACTGAACTACCTCAAATCCAGTGAGAATTACCAGATGGATGACTTAACATTTTGTGAACTTTCTTGGATTGGCATTCTAATGGGCTATGTTATGTGGAACAAAAAGAGGATACGTAACTGTGTCCTCTTAATGAGTTATTTGTGGCATTCTTAGAAGTGGTTGTTCTGGTGGGGTTGAGGAAGCCATGCGAGGACTAAGGTAAATATTTGCTAAACACATTAATAATGCAAATCACAGAAGAGAAGACCAAAAGTACGTTCTCTAGTTGGATAGTTATCAGATGCTAAGCCAAGGAACAGCTATTTTAGAGCGGTAAACATTTCCAAATAAAATAAACTGGCCTTCCTTCTTCACACAACAAAACTTCCAGGTATATGATGCTTTTTCATTTTCTGTAGGTTGAAATCTCACATAAGTCCCAATGGGACAGCTTGCTATTTAACATCAGACATGTTCTATGTAGAAGTTCAGTTGGAGAAAGATGGAAAGGTGATAGATGTAAAATTGGCTCACCCTGGAGAAGCTCCTGTGGTAAAGTTGATCTGTTTTCTTTTTTTTTATCATGCTCCTTGTGTAACAAAACATAATCTTGTTTTTATGGCTTTTTTCTGAAAGTGACTCATAATGGGATCTTTGTAACTGGCTGGAAAAACACCAAATAAGATACTTCTCTGCTATTGAACAAACTTCCATTTGACTGTTACACTAGCTGGCATAAATATACCTGTATACCTAAATGTATTGATAATGTTTGTCTAGTTCCTATAAGACAAGAGTCCACATAGCAATTGGTATTTCTTGGAATCCTTTTTAGCATTTTAAAGGACAGTGATTCAACAGGTAGGCAGGCTGAGCTATTCTCCTAGTTAAATGCAGTACAAAAACATTATCTTATATCTTCACAGTACTATAATGTGTTGTAGGGAGCTCTTGTGAGTTTGTTAAAATTCTACCACCAAGCATAAGGGAAGAGGGGTGATTTCTCTGCTTCTTACTTCCTCTTTAAATATTGCTACATCCAGACCTTCCCCCAGATATCTATCCCTTCTTAAAGCCCTACAAAAGTTATGTTCAACATACTAAATATATTCCTCAGGTGCTAAGAATTCCAGTGAAGTGCAGTTTAATATGTATTCCCAGAGGGGGTATTTTAATTATTGTGAGAATTTCTCAGACATTCTTCAATACATGTGCACACATTCCTGCTAATGGGGATTATTACAGGGGAATCTTTTTTTCTCTCCTGGGAGTTCCTTGTTAAAATATTGATAGAACATCACTGTGTACTAAAAGCATTGGTGCTGCTGTTTGTTATTAGGCGAAAAAACCTGGAGGGTAAAGTGTGGAGAAACTTGTGCTGCCACTGCCAGTGCTGCTGTTCTGTGGCTAAATGGAAGTGTGGAAGACTTCAGGGTAGTCAGCCCAAAAATCTGAAAAGAATACAAATGAACTCAAAATAAACTGGAACAAATGTGTCTCGCGAGGAAAATCTGTCATTTATGATGGGTTATCGTATTAAGAATGGAAGTACATATTCGGAGTACCGCACCACAGTAGTTGCCAAGAAAAAAACTAGCAAATGGATTTTAGAAATAGAATTTATCAAATAACTTATCTTGGGTAGTTGTCAGTCACACTGCCATTCTCTTTTCCTAGTATTCTCATATTAAGATTCTGGCATAACTAACTATATAATATGACTTTGATTTCTGTAGAGGAAATTTTGTTGAGTAAAATAATGAACAATGATATTGTCACCAGTAAAATGTTTACAGAGGTATTTCATAAAGGGTGCTAGAAAAGTCTGACCTTTTTATTTATTTTCTCTAGGTTTGTGATGACCTAGTGCAGCTTCTAAGGTATAGACTTGCTTAGAATTCCTTGGCTGATTGGAAGGGAATTATTTAATAGTCCTGAACCTATTATGAAAATAATTTCTGAAACATTTAAGTTAGTATTGTATTTTAAAGGGAATAGTACAAGAGTTTTCTCTTCTAAATATCCTAATATCAGGAAGCTACATATTGCTGAAAACTTGATTTTTTTTTAAATAATTTTATATTTTTAAGTATGAAACTAGAAAGTGATTGATAAGAGAGAAGAAATTAAAACAATGTCCTTGTTTAAACATATCTATATTAAAAATCCGCTTTAATGCTTCATATTAGAAGGCTTTTTTGTTTTTAATTCTTTATAGTCTGTAAACTAAAGGGGAGGAAATACAAACAGAGCTTAGAAAATAACTGTAGGGAAAAGGTATGTTCACTTCTGGAGTAACTGCTTGTGTAAGCAGATGCGGCTCCATTAAATTTAACAATGTGTATTGGCTCTTTCTATCAGCTGAACACATGTAATATGTGTGTTTATCTTATAAGGACTGCAGGGCTACATAACACAATTTAAACCCTTCTTTATTAAAGAGTGGACAATACATATAAAATTGTACAAACTGTTTTTTGGCTAATAATGAAACATATGGATTCTTGCAATAATATTTGGAAAATCATTTTTATATAGATTAGCTTTTGTTGTATTCAGACCCTGAACTGACACTCCCTCGATTTCTCCCCCCCCCTTTTTTTCAGTTCTTCATCAATCTTCTACTGTGGCAGTGCAGATAAATCAGAATAATCGGTTTCTTTTTCATCATGTAAAGGGGAGAAAGGGTCTTCACATTCCCACTAGTGCTATTTCTAGAGGATGTTGTGCAATAGATTTAAAAATTCTTATGCCATATATTTCTTGACCTGTCTAAACATTTCCTGTTCCAAAAGTGACCTTCATTTTAAAGACCAGCTGAAAAGCTCATTAGATTTTAAAATATACTTAAAAAACAAATTTGGTCAACTGCTCTTTCCAATGAGTATATTTCAGTGGCTGTGGTATCTCAAGTTTTTTACTGGAATAAAAAGGACAAGGATGGATGAGAAATGGACAGAGGTATCCTCATTCTTCCTTCTACTTGAGGACCTGCATTGCACATTGGTCATCTTAAACGCTATTTGTCTCAAACTGAATGATTAGCATCTCTAATTTCATACATATAGCTAGCTGAGATCAAAACTTTCTTTTTCTCACTCACCTTTGGTAGTAGTAACTTTATAAAGTGCATCAAATGTTTTTGCTCCCAATTATGATCTTAAAAGGTGATGTGTAGTTACAATATGTAGTGATAAGGGGAAAGTATACTAAACCACCCCATTAGAGTATACCATTCAATCTAACTCCATCTCAGATATTCATTACTTTATGGTCTTTAATTGGCTAATGGTGGACCCTATTAAGTAGTATTACATTTAATGTAATAATACTTCTCCATTTTTATAACATCTTACATTTGTGGGCCTCAAACCACTGGTGAAATAAGATTAACAAATGTGCCTGTGAAGTATGGAAGTATTGCTATCCCCATGTTTTAGATGGGGAAAATTGAGGCAGAGATAAATTAAATGGTTTGCTTAAGTTTCTGGTTGGAGATAGAATTTGGTCTGGTGGTGAAGTCAGGAGATTCAGAGTCATGTTCCTGGCCCTAACACTGACTTGTTGTGTATCCTTGGGCAAGTTGCTTATCCTCTGTGTTTCAATTTACCCATTCAGACTGTTTTAAAAATTTGTCTATTTCACAGGGGTGTTATGAGATCTAGTGTGACTAGAGAACCTGGAGATCTTTTGATGAAAGAACTATTTATGGGTTCATTGTATTATGGGGGAGTGTAGTGCACGACTAACTGTATTGAAATGTCAAGAAGTGCTGTTCCTAGCTGATAAGTTACATCTCCAGCTGTCAGATACGTATACCATGCCTGTTGATTGCTTTCAGTGATGCATACTTAAGTAATGTCAAATTTAATTGCATTGCTTTGTGCCTGAGTCAAGTCACATTTCCTGATATATTCTTTTAAAAAAAAAAATTCTTAACAACGTTGTGAAATGCTAAATATTACAACCAGGTTTACGTCACTGTCTCTATGCACTGTAGGAAATCTTTCCACCTCACTATATAAAGCTGCGTGGTGTGTTTCATTCATCTTTTGGTATTTTGGCTGTAATAATTTGTTCTTTATTGTTAGGATGAAGAATTATGATGCCTTTGGAAAGATTCTAGAAGGCCTGTTAAATCTGTATCAAATTCCGGGAAATAGGTTGTATCTCTTAAATATAATTAGCTTTTATTTGTCAATTATTTAATTCTTAATAATCCGTATTCTCTTTCCTAGTGACATGAAAGCTAAGGTATATCTTGCCTTGCAATCTTTGGAAAAAGATCTCTATTCAATGTCCCTTCTGTACAGGTAATCTTGAGTACATAGTGCCTTTGATTTTATTCTTTTTGCAATGTGAAATTGGTATAATAGACTTGCTCACAGCAGTATACATGGATATTGGGTTTTCTCCCAATGGGAAGCTAGAAATCTTTGCCATGGTGCCATCTGCTCTTGGTGCAGTCTTTCTAGGGGTCCCAGCTTTCTAGGGGACCTCAGGAGGTCATCTAATCCAACCCCCCCACTCAAAGCAGGACCAACCCTAACTAAATCATCCTAGCCAGAGCTTTGTCAAGCTGGGCCTTAAAAACCTCTAAGGATGGAGATTCCACTACCTCCCTAGGTAACCCATTCCAGTGCTTCACCACCCTCCTAGTGAAATAGTTTTTCCTAATATCCAACCTAGACCTCCCCCACTGCAACTTGAGAGCTTTGCTTCTTGTTCTGTCATCTGCCACCACTGAGAGCACCCTAGCTCCCTCCTCTTTGGAACCCCCCTTCAGGTAGTTGGAGGCTGCTATCAAATCCCCCCCCACCCCCGCTCTCTTCTCTTCTGCAGATTAAATTAGCCCAGTTCCCTCAGCTTCTCCTCATAAATCATGTGCCCCAGCCCCCTAATCATTTTCGTTGCCCTCCGCTGGACTCTTTCCAATTTGTCCACATCCTTTCTTCTGTGTGTGTGGGGGGGGGGTTGCCAAAAACTGGACACAATACTCCAGATGTGGCCTCAGCAGTGCTGAATAGAGGGGAATAATCACTTTCCTCGATCTGCTGGCAGTGTTCCTACTAATGCAGTCCATTAGCCTTCTTGGCAGCAAGGGCACACTGTTGACTTGTATCCAGCTTCTTGTTCACTGTCGACTCCACTGCAGAACTGCGATTTAGCCAGTTCGTCCCCAGCCTGTAGCAGTACATGGGATTCTTCCATCCTAAGTGCAGGACTCTGCACTTGTCCTTGTTTAACCTCATCAGATTTATTTTGGCCCAATCCTCCAATTTGTCTACGTCACTCTGGACCCTATCTCTCCCCCCCAGTTTAGTGTCCTCTGCGAACTTGCTGAGGGTGCAATCCATCCCATCATCCAGATCATTAATGAAGATGTTGAACAAAACCAATCCCTGGGGCACTTCGCTTGATACCAGCTGCCAACTAGACATTGAGCCGTTGATAACTACCCATTGAGCCCGACGGTCTAGCCAGCTTTCTGTTCTCCCTCCTTTGTAGTTGGGTTTGCTTTCTTTATTGGTCGCAGCTGTGGGTGCATGCCACCACAACTGGCAGTTCTAGCAGACGTTTGGGGGTGTGATCATCTGTTTGCCTATAAGTAGAAAAGACTCTTCTCCCTTCTGCCTATGCTCAGTAAAGCGTTTGTAAACCCCATTTGTAAACCCTTATGGCCAAAGCCAAGCCTTGGCTAGTGAAGATTACTTCTCTTGACAGAAAACTGGCATTTCTATCCAAACTTCTTGCTCAGTGTTGTAACCAGAAGGCTTATGGTTGTAATGACAGGTACCATTTCATTATCCTCGGGTTTGCCTCTTTCATTACATTCAGTCAGTGCAAGGGGCCATGATCGGTAACTAATATGAATTGGTTTCTTAGGAGCTAGTACCGTGGTCTCTCTATCGCTCACTTGTCGGCCAAGTATTCCTTTTGTATCACCAAGTATACCTTCTTGTGAGGAAAGAGTTATCAAGTGTCCTCCTCCATCTACCTCTTGGGAAAGACTACCTCTCGTCCTACCTCTGACGCATCTATTTGCAATATGAATTGCTTCTCGAAGTTTGGAAATACAACACTGGGTGTCTGTAGAGTATGCCCTTTCACTCTTAAAAGGCCCTTTCCCAGGTGGGCACCCATAAAACCTGTCTTAGGGGTTGTCCCTGGTTAGATCAATTAGCCGGACTGCTATGTTGTTGAAATGTGGTATGAACTGACAGTAGTAGCCAGCTATACCTAGGGAGGCCCAGACTTGGCAGTGAGGGTCTTGTAGGCCTGTAAGGCATGAATCTTATCCACCAATGGGCAGATTTATTGTCCGCCAACCATGTGCCCTAGATAACGGGCTTCCTGTTTTCTTATCGTGCATTTAGCGGAGTTAGCCATTAACTTGACTTCCCTCAGGGACTGGAATATGGAGGCTACCTTATTCAGATGGGAATCCCAATTCTTGCTATAAATGACTGTCATTCAAGTACACTACCACATCAACTGTCGAAAAGTAGCTGCTTTCCCATGTAATCTGGCGGGCGTTGTCTTAAAATGAAATATGCCAAGCAGCATAGAAAAGCGGTCTTCTCCTGAGAGTCCGGCCTTAAGGGGATCTGCTAGTACTCCTTCATCAAATCCAGAGTGGTAATGTACTAGGCTTCTCCCAACCAATATAAGAGTTCATCTACCCATAGCATGGGGTGGGCATCAGATTTTGGAACTGCCTTCACCTCTCTGAAGTCTATACAGAAACGCAGTGAGCAGACCGGCTTTAGAATCAGCACAATAGGATTCCTCCAGTCACTTTGGGATTCCTCTATTACCCCAAGTTCTAACATGGTCTTGAGCTCTTTCTTGATGGTTCCCCTCAATTTGTTGGGGATTGGTCAGAGCCCTTCCTGTATTACTTTAACAGGTTCTATATTAATGTGATGGTGGGGCATGGACGTCTTTGTGGGGTGATGCTGAGAATACTTTTGGAAAAGTGGCCACCAGTTGGAATGCCTGTTCCTTTTGCTTCAGGTTTAGGCTCTCTGAGGGGCACTGAGCTTTCTTTTAGATAGTCAGTCATTAATTTAGGGTACCAATTCTGGTTCCTCAGCATGATGAAGAGGTTTGCCCTGTCTCTCCAGGGCTTCAGCAAATTTACATGGTAAACTTGTTCCTTTCCTCCCCCTCCCTCCCCCCCGGTTGTCTGACTAAATAGTCCATGGTTCCTACCTTCTTTATCACTTTATAAGGACCTTGCCACTTGGCCATTAGCTTTGATTCAGAGCTTGGAAGTAGTAGTAGAACTCTGCCTGGCTGGGAGGCATGCATTTGTGCCCCTTTCTTATGTTGTTCCTATGTTTCTCTGAGGTTTTCTCTAGCCTATGCCCCCATAAACTCCAATCACTCCCATAACTTTAAGACAGAATTGTACTATGTTTCCAGCTCTTGGAGCCTGGCTTTTCCATGTTTCCCATACCAGGTCTCGTATGCCTGTTGCCCAGATAGCCGTTTGCGTGGTGATGCTTGAGGTATTTCCCTGATGGTGGAGAGTAGGGTCAAGAGTAGTTGGTCCCAGTGTCAAGGGCCTGGATATTGAATTCCTTGAGCATTCTCCTGAGTGTCTGATTAAATGTTTCCACTAGGCCATCCATCTGCGGATGGTACACAGATGAGCATAATGCTTTGACTTTCAGTAGTTCCCAGACCTCTCTGATCAGCCAGGATGTGAAATTTGTTCCCTGGTCTGTCAGGATCTCTTTGGGAATCTCTACCCGTGTGAAGATAGCGATAGTCTTGGCATTCGTTCACTGGAGTGGCATGGCTGCCAGGTAGTAGGTGGCATAGTCTACAATAACAAGTATATGTTAGTGTCCAAAGGCTCTTCTGTAGGGGATCTATAAGCAGAGCCAGTGCTAGGCATAAGTAGATTAAGCAATTGCTTAGGGCCCCGAGCGTCTTAAGGGGGCCCCCAAACTTGCCTGTTTTAGTATTGTGTGTGTTGGCGGGGCAAACATATTCCTGCTTAGGGCCCCCAATAGATTAGCAGAGGCTCTGCCTATAAGATCAGTTCCTACTCATTCAAATGAGGTCTCCACCAAAGGAAGGGATACTAGTAGAGCCTGCTGGACTTGCTTAGTGGCCACTAATTTAGCACATTTGGGGTATGATGCACAGAAATTCTTGACTTCTTATCTTGTCCTGCACATGGTGTTTTGTGTGTGTGTGTGCTAAATTTAGACGCTTGCGATGATATACCTGGGGTATTAGTAGTTCCGTCCATATCTCCTGCGCTTGCTTGTCCTGGTCTACGCAATACAACAAGTCTGCCTTAAAGGCAAAATGGGGATATTCCTGTGTCCTCACGGGATCCACCCTTTCATAGTCTCACTGCTACTTGTTGTCCATAGCAGTAACAGGTTATCGAGTCTGTCCTTTTGTCTTCTAGCAGCTTGGAGGAAGCATCCTCCTTCCAACTTTCACTAGGCCTTTGTTCCTGTGTAGGTTGGGGCAAGAGGCTGGTGGGATGCTTAAAATGGTGTGTCTGCTATTTCAGGGAAATCTTACCCACAGACCCTGAGAGGGCTGCCTGTAACCTATCCTGTCCAGAAACCAGTCAGCTGCCTGTGTTCTCCTGTGGTTTGCCCGATAAGGCCATCCTGACTTGTTCATAGTTCTGGGCACTGCATCGTCAAGTCTGCTGCCTGGACATCCCCAATGAGGAGTGGAGCAAGCTGATTGCCCACGGGGCTGGGGGCAATTGAGAGGCCATGGCCACCCTTTCAAAAGTTACTAAGAATGACTCTGGGTCATCGTTTAACATTTTGGAAAGTGTCTGGATTGGAATGGCTCCCCTGAAGTGTGGGAGACACATTTCCTCTATGGGCGGAGCCCTGAGTAGCAGCAGTTGGTAGTAGTTCTGCCATCTGTTGCTACAGCTGTTGCTGGTGTGGTGCCATCTGTTCAAACAGTTGTTGCTGTGTCTGCTGTTCTGAGTCAGCCAGCCATTGCTGGAGCTGATTTACCTCCATACCTCGTGTGTATATAAATATATAACTACTTTTTAAGCTTCCCTCTTCTGCAGGGACAGTTGAGGTCAATCCCCAATTCTGGTACCACATTGTTGACTGCCCTTGGTGCAGTCTCTCTAAAGGGTTCCAGCTTTCTCTGACCTGGTCCCCTTCAATTTGCCTCTCATTAGACCTGTCCATAAATTAATCTAAATTGAGTCTATCAGCCTTTAAACTCCAGGTTTGCAGTTGTCTTTTGTCTCCTTTGTCCAGTTTCTTAGAGGCAGCCTGGTGTGAGACTGTTGCCCCTCCGCTATCTCAGACACTCAGGGTGTGACCTGCATGCTAGCAGGCTGTTTGTGAGCAGCCCAGGTTGGGAGCTACAAGAGCAAAGCATTGTGAGGCACCCAAGATTTCAGGGCAGGTGGTGATGCAATCCAGACCAATGAAGAGTTGTACCCCAGAATGTGACTGAGCCTCCTTTCTGGGAGCCCTGAAAATTGAAGATCCTATTCTGGAGACTTGTCTACTTAACTAGCTTCATCAAATAAGGTCCTGCTGTAATGTGAGAACATACAATTAGACTATTTTTGCATAGTGTTTCCTTATTAAGAATGGTCATTTCTTTTTGAGCTAACATGCCATGTCCTCACTAGTCACAAATCTGTCAGCAAATATCCTGAGCAGTTAACTGTGAATTGATGAGTAAGCTGTTTGTACAGCTGAGTAGATCTTTCAGCCTGTTACCATTTTGCAGCTCATTATTTAATACTTGCACTGTATGTGGGTTGATGTGTGAGAGTCTCACTTGAGTTCCAGTTTATCCAAGTCACTTATTCATACTTCCTCCCACCTTGCCCTTGCAGTAATCTGTCTGTCATTCCAGTATTTTCATCACCACGCCCTTTAGAGCCGGGGTGTACAAAACCAAAACATGTCAAATTTTAAATATGCAGCAAGCCTAGACAAGGGAGCAGAGAGGGCCCCAGCTGAAGCTGGAAATCCAAGCATTAAGACTGTGCATGATGAGAGACATAAGGCAGTAGTGAGTTGCCTGAGAGAGAATTTCTGAAAACTACCATAGAACTGCACAAAACCTAAAGCCAAGGCAATCAAAAGAGAAGAGAGAATATTTAATGGAATGAAATGGCTTTATATTGATTTAAATAGCACTGTCACTCTAGAACCACTGATCAGTGTGTATTTTGTAAAAAAATTAGAACACAGGATGTAAACAGAGTTACTGAAGTACTTCATGGAAAAGCAGGACACCTTGTGCAAAGAACTGGAGGTAATTTTTTTTGTTTAGATTTAAAAAAACAAACCCCAATTTGAGTAAACGGTGTACCCACAGCAAAGATCCTTCCGTACTGAGCTGCATCATTAGCTATATTTATTAATTGTATTGAAGTAATGCCTGACAGAGGTTCTGTATTCCCAAGCACTGTACATTTACAGTAATGGAAAGATGCTCTGGGGACCATAGAGCAAGCAATATATTCCAGCAGCCTGATATCATACCAGCTTAAAAACCGTGCTAGTAACTTTCTGATGTCATGTGGGGAATTTTGGGAGTAACTATGAAACTCTCCATAGTTGCAAAAGAGATACTGTTGCTTGCCTAAAAGGGGGACTAACTTGAACTGATGGGTTTTAGCACCTTGTTCTAGATCATCATAAATTTGTAGTCAACAGGGGCCTTGGGCTTTAACTCTCAGAATTCAGACATTTT